GACATAATTAGCAGTCGCAATGGCGTAAAGGCGTATCGAGTTAGCTGAAGTGTACAAACACATCAGAGATAGATGGAAGAGACTGTAGTCGACACACATGGACCTACATGAACCGCAATTAGCGTCCACACCGGATGACCTGGACTGACCCCGTACTGACTTAAATTACAGTTGCCAATTAGCCATTACGCCATTGCGACTGCTAATTATGTCCACCACAATGTGACGCAAATTGCAACTCCCAATTAATGCCCACACCAGATGACTATATAGCTGTATCAGCACTTTGAAATGCTAACTGTTCTTTGCGCATTTTTCTCAAGTCTGACGACGACCTGGGGATCCAGTTTCGAAAATTTACTGAATAAATTTACTCATTTTCCCAGAGGACGTCTTTCCTTGAAAAAGTTTTATCGCATCGATATGTGTCATTTCTAATGAGGTGGTTCAGTTCCATGCCGTAACGTGTGCTCAACGCCTACAATATACAGCCTTTTGGTTAATTTTTCAATATGGGCTTCAAAAATTTTAAAATGTGTAATCACTCTGTGGTGATTCTGGAGCTTAGCAATCGCTTTTCTGCGTTCAATGAAACAGCTTACCACCCAAAGAATGGCTTAGCTTCCTCTCATCGATGTAGCAATGCTTGCGTTGAACGCCAGCAGGAAGAAAAGCAAAACAAATTTGCTAAATTGAACCTTCTCGTGTGACAGGAAAAGCACCCGACTACGGCTTTGCCGGATTTACCGGCCTCCATTTTTTCTCCGCCATTTCCTGTGCAGGCACTCGTAACGAGGGCGCAAGGGCGTTCATTGTATCCGTCTTTACTTCGCAAAACAATGGGCGTTCTCGCATAATGGCAGTCGGTTAATTCAAGAGTTGCTTTGCCTCGGCAAATGTGAGGCACGAGGACATTCCCTAAGTGCTTTATATGCATGAATTGAACGTTAGGCAATGTTAAACCTAACCGAACCAAGCTTTACAAGAGTACTTCACTCACATGTCGCGCAGTAAAATAGTGCGCGTACATTTATGGTAGAAAATTATTGAAAATAGCATGTGGCAGCTAGTAGAAGATCGGCTTGAGAATTTTGAAATCAAAAGCAGCGTTTCCAACAAATATCCATAGTGAAATACTTGGCTCAGATTAATCAAGTTGTGAAGTAACGAAGGGCCGAGTGAACGTCGAAATGAAACGCTTATTTCTCTAGACTATAGATATCTACAAGAGTCGAGCTTTATGAAAGAAAAAAACAAGTAATCAGTAATAAACTATAATTTAAACTTAATTAAGTTTACCCAATTGTGAGGAAAACTCGCGGCTTCGGCGGGAGTCGAATCCACACAGTATTGAAGGCTTTTGCGCATCCAACGCTCTACCATTGAGTTACGAGGCACGCCATGGGCCGTGAATTCAATCACACTTCAATCGGTTCTATTCGCCCAACTAACCGCTCGTATGGAATTCACCATTAGGGAACAGCAAGCTGACTGCCCAGGCAGGATTTCCTAAACAGTCATCTAGAATTCCCCAGAATGACTACTAGGCTGATTTAACTGTTAGGGATTTTCGGCATATTTGCTTAAGTTAGTTGAACCAATTGTAAAAAACTCCTCTTATAAACCAGGGACCGGTATATCCATCTGAACGTACGCTTTAATGACCACGACGCCGGTAGGACTTATCTGCTGCAAGTAACGCAATCACAGTCAAAACACCAGACCCCAATTAACTTTCAGCTGGTTTGACTGCAAGTCTTTTCCGGCATGCGATGATGATCTGAAGCAGCGGTCTTTGAATTGTTTGTCACGACCTGCTATATTCGATCACCCCTCTGCACAGACAATACGTGGTTGCATAGTCTTGACACCTCATTTTCCAGTTTTTAATCACCTTTTAAGCTAGAAATTTATTTAAAAACTCTTGCAGGGTGAATTTGATCGCGTATGACTGCATAAAACACCGACTAAAAACCACTCTGCCAGTAACTTCCGCACACGCCAAAAGATATATTTCTTCACAACTCACCTATAAGCGTCAGGGCTATAGCGTATTGCAAAGGATTGTTTTAGGGACATTGGGTGCAAATTGTGCTAGGCACCGTTTACAATTCACTTCGGCGCATCTATGGTCCGGCATATATCATGCATGTTTATTGTGAAAAAAGGGAGAACGTGAATACCAAAGATCCTGCTAAGTAATTTGCAAGCATGAATGATGTTAATGAAATAAAGGCGATAACTTTGGGCTAGTGTTGGTTTACAAATGCTTATCCTGATGCCGCTGGTCGAAAAAAAAACATGATTTCGA